ATGACTTAAAGGAACCTTATAACGACCCATGAACCTCCAAGTAGTCCCTAAACCCTAAACCCTAAGCCCTAAACCCTAAACCCTGAACCCTAACCCGACTTATAACCCCACTTATAACTACCCAGGAACCTCCAAGTAAGGGTCGGGGCGGGCGGGATCTGAGGTCAGAGAAAGGCTCTGGAGCTGGGGACTCCCACGTAAGGTCATTGTCATAAGGTTCGCAGACTAAACATACGACGTTTTAGACTTGAAGGGTTTAGGGTTTAGGTTTTAGGGTTTTAGGTTTGAAGTTTGAATTGGCGGGCAGTCGTCACGCATGAAGCCTCCGATGGATCGCAAGATGCGTACGCCAAGCTGGACTTGACTCTAGAATGTTTGTTGCTCAGTTGGTGGTCGGGGCGGCCAGGAAAAGGCCCAGGCAAGGGCCCAAACAAGAGAGCACACTGCCTGTCTTGGCACAAAGGATCACACAAGCTGGTTTCAGCAACAGGTGCTCCAAAGTAGGGCATACCCCAACCAAGTGATTGGAAGCCTGTAAGACCCAAACCCCAAAGTCATAAACCCTAAGCCCTCATAGAACCCCATAGCAACCCTTGTGAAGCCTTTGCAGCGACCATTAAAGTACCCTTGTGGTAGCCTTAAATTTGAAAGAGCAGCATCAGGATCTTCAACCAAAGCCGGAACCAGAAACGCCTCGTAGGCTCCACTCGACCTTTGCTCCAATCCTGTTTTTGGGTTTGCGATTTAAGGTTTCAGGTTCAGGACCCCGAACCCTAAACCCTAAACCCTAAACCCTAAACCTGTTCAGGGTTTTAGCTTGGTTGCTCTCGTTCAGGATTTGCACCGGGTCCCCAATCTTAGGACCTCCGGCTCTGCCCCAGGCGTCGCTGAAAGTCTTGCCGCGGATGGGCCGTTGCCGCATGCGGGAGCCTCAGATTCCAATCAGGCTTGATCCGATGACGCCGCCGAAACCCTAAACCCAAAGCCCTAAACCCTACACCCTAAACCCTACATCCTAAACCCTTCCTAAACCCCCATAGACCCCAAACAACATGAAGCCTAAACCCCGAGACCCCTAAACCGCCAAACCTCCGAGCCCTCAAGCCCAAAACGCCCCAAGATCTCGCAACCATCAGCTAGTGTAGATTTTCACTATTACCACAATTATTATCATTATTATTGTATATTATACCCCGAAACCCTGTTCTAGTCATTAAGGCCCCGTTTCTTACGAGACCCCAGAGCCCGCAGCAAGGCTTCCAAGATGCCTCGCCGGGACGTCGTCCACTGCATCGAGGCCGCCCTGAAGGCCTGCAATGAAATCATAAGCCCCAAACCCCAACTCCTAGAGCCCAAACCCTAAAAGAGCCCTAAACCTGAAATCTAAAACCACCGGATCCTAGACCCTAGGCCCCAAGCCCTAAATCCTATAACCCCGAGCCCCAAGCCCGAAACCCTAAACCCCAAGAAGGCCTGCAACGGGGAGGCGAAGAAAAGCCAGATCCTTCGGGTAGCTCCTCGGCCCCTTTTCAAGGCTTCCTTTGATAGTTGCTTCAAGGCTTCTGATGCTCAGGCCCGCATTTGCCAGTACCATGTCTTAGGATTTTTTCCTATCGCAACGTCTAGTACAATCTACCCAAAGCCGTATTCAACCTATCCAGGCCCCTACATCATGACCCAGGGTTCGGGCTGTGGAGATTTCGGGTTTCCGGATTCAAGGCCGATCTCGGTCACAGGGGTCTCCTGTTTAAGACTCAATACTCGCTGAGTCTTCAGGGCATATCGGGGAACCTAGTCCAAAACGGTAATCAAGCTTTACAAAGTCCTATGAACACACACACACACACACACACGCGCGCGATGCCAGCGTAGATTGACAGTGAACGAGCACCACGACGAGCATGAAGCTCACGACCGTTAGGACCACTACAGCGACCCCTTCGGCCTCTATGACCCGAACGACAACGACAACGACAACCAGGAGACGACGCGGAGACCACGAAGAACTACCACGAGAAAACTTGCAGCCAAGACACCCCTAAAGCCAGGAAACTCTCGGAGCCTTCAAGTATTGCCGGATTTTGAGGACGGCCCAAATGCTTTACTCCCACCCCCAGTACTGGCGGAGGATTCAGGAGGCATAGTGGGTGCGGCAACAATGAGCACCGGCGGGATGCGGGAACACGGCGCTCATCCTTCCCTGTCTTTACCAGCTCGATCTGCTGCGATTCAAGGCCTTCCGAGGAAAAAGCGGTCCACGTGTTTGAATTTACAATGAGTCCGGCTCTCCGGGGCACGCGGCGGCACAGATCTTAGATGCAACAAAACGCGAGCGCAAATGCCTCGTGCGCACGGATCCACTTCAAAAAGGGAACCGAGAACCAACCTTGCACCGCACCACAACGGGAGTCGTGCATCGAGGAACTTTTTTGCACGGGCGCCGCCGTGTGCAGACGCTATACCTGACGTAAATAGCCGCTAACTAGTGCTACCACGCTGTGTGGGGAAATTTTCTTGGTCGTAAACCCTAAACAGACTCTAAACCGTACACCCCCCAATCCTATACCTGTAAACCATACACGCCAGCCTCCAAACAATAAGTCCTACATAGACTCCAAACCCACCACCAAGCCCTAAACCCTAAACCCTAAACTCTAAGCCCAAAACTCAAAACCCAAAACCCTAAGCCCTAGACCCTCCGTCCAAGGATCTGGCGCAGTCCTGGGACCGGTGCGTGGAGTCTTTTGGTTCCAAGGCCAAGAAGGCGGAGCCAGCGACTCCAAAAGCCGTTTGATTGAGGAGTATACCTCAAATTATCCTTAGAACCCTAATATGATTTAAGGGATGTTCCTGGATAAGGGAAAATAAGGGAATATACCTCAAATTAGAAAGGAAACCCTACTATGATTTAAGGGATTTTCCCTTGATTAAGAAACATACCTCAATGATAAAAGAACCCTAGTATGAGTTGAGAGATACTCCTTGATTATGGAACATACCTCGAATTATAACGGGAACCCTATTGTGATTTAAGGGGTTATTCCTTGATTAAGGAATATACCTCACGTTAGAACGGGAACCGTAATATGAATTAAGGGATGTTCCTTTATTAAGAAGGATACCTCCAACTATAAACGGAGCCCTCGTATGATTTGAGGAAAATTCCTTGATTAAGGAATATACCTCACATTACAAAGGAACCCTAATATGATCTAAGCGATATTCATGAATGAAGGGGTTTTGGGGAGTCTCCGGGGAGAAGGCGGTGACGATCCGGCTGGCGTACTTGGAGAACCGGAAGTCTCTGCACGCCTTCGCCCCGGAGAAGGTAAAGAAGGACCTTCTGTTGATGCTTTAAATCCTGCATTACTTTAAAGGACCCTAAACTATGAGAATTATGGTATATTCCCTATTTTGGGTAATGCAGGATTTATATCATCAACCGTTTTATCCCAGATCCCAAGCCCCAGGCCATTAACCTAAGCCGAAGAAAAGCCCTGAAGCCTGGAAGAAGCCTTAAGCCCGAGCCCCAAAAGCCAGTGAAGGAGGTGACCACAGAGCTGCAGCAGAGGTTCGAAACGCTGGCTGGGCCGGACCTGGCCAAGTTCAAGGCCCGCATTGCCACGACCAGCCAGCCCCGTCGCCCTGATGTCCAGAGCTGCTCGGTCATTTGTTGCAGATTCCTTTTGCTTCTTTGGTAGGTTGGGCTTCCTCGTCGTTGAGACATAAAAAGAAAGAGCGCCTAAGGAGGATCCAGTGTCTTTTCCATGCCAGTAGGGACCAAGGCTTGGGAGGATGGAAAGCTGATGACTGGGCCAGGCAGCTGCTTGGGTGCTGAGCAGGCAATATAGGGCGCCTTATAGACGAAATAATTACGGTATATTGTAATGCAAATATGTTACAACGAGTAAGAAGGACTTGGGTTTAGGGTTTCGGGTTTAGGGGAGCATACAGTATACTACAGTATGGTATAGTTTTGTTTCGTGTTGGTATAGTACCGTGCCGTGAGGTACTGTAAAGTACAGCAGAGCAGAGCAGCGTGCAGCAGTGTAGAGTAGAGTATCGTAGACGAGCAGTACGGCACCATGCATGTTTGTATTGTACACTAAAGCACAGCACAGCATAGCTCAGCATAGCTCCGCATAGCAAGCATAGCACGCCATAGCACAGCACAGCATAGTGCAGCTGAGCAGAGCACAGCAGAGCAGCGCAGAGCAAAGCATAGGGTGGCGTAGCATTACACATCACAGCACAGCAGAGCCTGCATAGCGTAGCCCAGCCTAGCACAGCACAACACAGTATGGTATGGTAGGGCATGGCATGGCATGGCATGGCATGGCGGGTTAGGGTAGAGGGTAGGGCAGGTTAAGCATGGTATAGCTCCCCAAGGGTGCCTTAAGCAGACTCAGACGAGTAAGGCTGAAGGAGTTATTGGGCGCCCAGCTCGACTTCTCGCAGCGGCCCCTCCGCCTCGCCACTGGCTGCTCGGGCGCCGAAGCGCCCCACGTTGCTCTGCAGATGCTTGTGGGCCGTGAAGGCTTCTGGGTTCTGGAGCATGGGTAAGTGTAGTACTACGGTTGATGATATAGATCCTGCATTACCTTAAGGACCCTAAACTATGGGAATTATGGTATATTCCTTCTTAAGGGTAATGCAGGATTGATATCATCCACCGTAGCAGTCATAGTCATAGTAGCAATAGCAAATAATAGCGGTAACGGCAACATCACAGGAACAGTTTTTTGCTTGGCATTGTTGCCTTGTAGAAGCGAGGCACCAAAGAACATGGTGGCTGCTTTTTTGGGCCGAGACCCAACCCTAGACGCAACCCAAATCTTAGATTTAAACTCTAGACCCTAAAAACCCTAGACCCTAAACCCTAAAACCCTAAACCCTGAACCCTAAACCCTAAACCTAAGACCCTAAACCCCAAACCCCAAACCCTCAACCCTAAAGAGCGTCAGCCGGGACACCCTAACAAAAATTGAGCCAGAGCCCAGGTTTCGAGCAACTCTTCGGTTCCGACATCAACGAGACTCCACGCCGTTTCATGCTGAAGAACTGTACCTTGGGTTTTGGGGTTTAATGGTGTCGGGTTTAGTTCAGGGTTCAGGGTTTCCCTAGGCTGGTTTTGTAGTTAAGCTTCGGGTTTGGGGTTTCTTGGGGTGGTTTGAGGGGCTTAGTTTAGGGTTTAAGGTTGGTTCAGTGGGGCTTTAGGGGCTTTCGTGTTCGTTCAGAGCAGATATTGGTCTAGGTCTTTCTTAGCAGAGTATTGAAATTGTTGGTGGGTCCGAAAGGGGTATGACAGGGTTCTGATAGAGTTATGTTATGGTTGAGGGTTTAGCGGCTTATGCTTAAGAGCTGAACCTTGAGGCTATGTTCATTGGGCTTTTAAGGGTAGTGATCGTGTTTAAGAGCTGTATCTTGCGTTGTTGTTCATGCGCTTTAGAAGGTCCGAATGGTGTTCTCACAGGGTTGAGGGTTCGGGAAGGTTTCATACTTGGGTTTTTCACAGGGACTTTCAGAGACTAGGGCGCCTGACGTAGTCTCCAAAGCATATGCGGACGCCCTGAAGAAGTGCACCTTGGGTTCTTGAATCGTGCTAGATAGGATTCATCTGGGGCTTTAAGGCATAGATAGGGTTACAGGGGGGTTCCTGTGGGGCATAAGATCTGGGATGTGTTGTGCTGAAGAACTTCAACACCATGGTTCTCTCAGGGGGTTTGCGTGATCTCTTACCAGTTTGTTTAGGTATGCTGAAGACCTGCAATATGGCTTCGTTTCCGGGGGGGTTGTAGAAGATTGTGATAGGGTTGCACTGGACTTTGTTGCTGTGTTGTGGGATCTTCGCCGAGGGGCGTGTGAGTCTGGCGCTTCGGACGTGAGCTCTAAAAGCCAACAAACCCCCAAGGCCCCATAAGGTTTGGATAAAACCTCAAGGCCCCAAAAGGTTTGGAGATGCAGCTGTGAGACTTCGACCTTGTGTGAAGCTCTCAAGCCAACAAAGCCCTAAACCCTAAACCCTAAACCCTAACCCTAAACCCTAAACCCTAAACCCTAAACCCTAAACCCTAAACCCAAACCCTAAACCCTAAACCCTAAACCATGAAGCCGGAATGCCAATCCGACAGCCCGGCGCCTGCAAAGCCCCAAAGCCCAAGATGATACAGATAGATATCCGAAATGCTACGTTGCTACATGCCTAACCCCTAAACCTCAGAAATCCCTGAGGTATACGATCCTAAACCCTAAAATCCTCAACCCTGAAGCCGTAAGCCCTAAAAGGATCCTGAACTCTAAACCCTCATAGATCCCTTTAAAGAAACCCCTATAGATCCCCGTTTACAGGAGCCCAAAACCCCCTTATAGTAGAAGCCATAAAGCTGGAACATCATACTCTTCATGCCCTTCAGCTATTGCACAAGGGGATCCTAGGTTTAATCATCCTAAGTCCAAGTTCCAACTTGCTAGGGCTCACTGCAAAATCCTCAACTCAAAGCCCTTGTAGATCCCCTTATAGATCCCTTAGCAGGAACCCTACACCCCCAAAAAATCCTTCAAGGCTCCTAAACCCTAAACCCTAATCCCTAAACCTGAAACCCTAAAAACCCTAAACCCTAAGCCGCAAAGGTAAGAGGCAAAAGCATCTTTTTGAAGATGTCAAGCACGTCATGGAGGGTCAAGGCTCCTGTGCCCGTCACGGCGGCCGCTGCCGTGTCCCAGAGGACACTTGGGGCTTTTGAGTAGGGTTTAGGGTTTAGGGTTAATGGATTAGAGTTTGGGGTTTAGGGTTTAGGGTTTAGAGTCTAGAGTTTGGGGTTTAGGGTTCAGGGATTAGAGTTTGGGGTTTAGGGTTAACCCTAAACCCCTAAACCCTAAACCCTAAACCCCTAAACCCCTAAACCCTAAACTCTAAACCCAGGACGAGGTGGACATCTTCATCGGCGGGTTTCCATGCACTCCGTATTCCTTTTGCAACCCGAAGAGGTTCAAGCGGAACTGAGCCTTAAACCCTATAGAAAACCCCCAGACTCCCAAACCCTAAATCCCTAAACTCTATACCACAAAACCCCTAAACCCCAAATCCCCAAATCCCTAAACCCTAAACCATGCACCCTAAACCCCTAAACCCTGAACCCGAAACCTGTTGCAGCTCGAAGAGGTTCAAGCGGAACTGCTTCACGGAGCCGGCAGCCGCCCCGTTCTTCGAGATGCGGAAGTTCATCGCTGCGAGGCGACCGCGCATGGTGATCCTGGAGAACCTGATGGGTACTTGGAAACAGCCTTTGGGGTTTAATTTGGGTTTTTCAGGTTTCAGAGATTATTTTTAAGGTTTTAGGAATAGGAAGTTTAGGGAGTATAGTCCAAGTTCAGTAGAGGAACGTTCGGGGCCTCCTGGCGCCGAATCCCGAGACTAAAGACACTCCCATGGACTTCATCCTCCGTGGCAAGAATCCGGAAGACCCGGAGCACTGCTACCAGGGCAGCGAGCCCTCTGCAGAGTGGGGTCTCGGTCTCATCGAGGGCTACGGGCTCCACTGGGACCTCCTTTACTCCTGTGACTGGGGCCTGCCACAGAGGCGTCCGCGAGTCTACATCGTGATGGTAAGGGAGGATGCCGGAGGGCAGGAAGCTGCAGACCGCATCTTCAACGTGCTCCATGCATGCGCAGGTCATCTGCCTTGTGGCTCCTGCAACGACTTCTTGTATCCCGAGGACCACCCACGGCTCAACAAAGCTTTGCAGCTGGTGCAAGGAGCCAGCAGCAGCGAGCGAAAGGCTTGCACGCCCTTCACAGAGGCCTTGTTCAAGGCCACGCGCCAGGAGCATGGTCTTGATGCTTCGGAGCGTCCCTACACGAAGAAGCGGCCCAAAGGCTGGTATCCCGAGGCAACAGAGAAGATGGTCCAGCAGCTTGACATCATCCACGCCCTTGCGGAAAAGAGGGCCCTGGACTTCAAGTTCCTCTTGGCGGATCTTAGCCAGCAGGTTTCGCGGGGCTGTTGGAGGGATGATGGGTACGTCCCAACACTGACGACGGCCGGTTCTCTCTACAGCTTCCATCACCACCGCCCCATTGTGGGCGAGGAGTGCTTGAAACTGAACGGCTTCCCGGTGGAGGAGCTGGATCTCGAAGGGTTTACGGACAACGAGCTCAAGCTCCTGGCATGAAAAGGAAGCCATGTCATTTCCCGTAATATATCGCCACTATTATGGTAACTTAAATATACCCTGAGAAGACCCGAAAATTAGGTTCCTGAACGAGAACCCTTGAACCCCGAACCCCAAGCCTTAAACGCCAACACCCTTAAACCCGAAGCCATACACCGTAAACCCCAAAACCGTAAACCCCGAAAACCCCTTAAACCCTAAAAACCTCAAGACCTATAAACCCTAAACCCACCCCTATAAACCCTGAACCGCTAAACCCTAAACCCCTAAACCCTAAACCCGCCAAGCCTAAGCCCAGGTTCTTGGCGGGCAACGCCATGTCGGTGTCCGTGGTGGGTGCGGCTGGGTTCTTGTTGAGGAATTTCGTTTAAGTTGCCTTAAGAGGGATCTATCGTAAATAATGGGGATGTAAGATATATATTTAGTGAATAATAGGGGTCTATAGTTAATAATGGGGATCTATCGTGTATAATAGGGGTCTATCGTGAGTAACAGGGTTTCCTTATTATAGCATGTTACATGAATCCTAGACCCTAAACCTCAATCCCTCAATCTTAGACCCGAAACCCTAGAGTTCCGTAACAAGAGCCCAGGCGGTGCTCCTCGCCGGCCTCGTCTCGGTTTCATGGGGAGGGAACCTTACCAGTCGGTGGAGTAGGCCCCCTTTTCATTTTTGTGGTTTGGGGTTTAGCACGTGGTCATACAAGGTTTAGGTGTTAGGGTTTATCTAGGGCTTAGGGTTAAGTGTGTAGCCGTTTTCGTGTTTGTACTCCCAAAACTGACCCCTTGAAGGGAATACCTAATGTAGGGATTAGACTGAAGACTACACCCTAAATCCTAAATCCTTAGCCATTTGGGCTGATAGAAAAAACCCTAAACCGTAAACCCCAAGGAACAGGTCTGCCGCGGCCACGAACGAGCTCCCAGCTCCCAGGGACTGTGGGCTGAGGTATCGAAAGAAGGAGACCGGAGATGGGCAGGTGCTGGTTGTTGAAACAGCTTTAGAACTTTAAGGGTTTAGTGGTTCCTTTAAAGAAGGGATCTACAAGGGTTTAGAGTTGAGAGGATGTTTCTAGGGGTTTTGGGGATTTAGGGGCTAAGGGGTTAAAGGCTTCGGGTTCAAAATAAAGTTTAAAGCCCAAAATCGCCATATGGTAGGTTCCCCCTTTTTTTGAATGACCCGTAACGACCCCAAGCCCTTATTCACAGCCCAAGGACCCGGAGCAGAACCTTGTTCTGAAACCGTAGTAACGCAAAATCCAACCCTGACCTCCAAGCCAAAATCCCAGACCCAAAAACCCTAAAGCCCTAAACCCTAAAACCCTAGAGCCTCTAAACCTAAAGCCCTAAAGCCCTCAACCCTAAAACGCTGAAGCCCTAAGTCTTAAAAATCGAAAGCCCTCAACCTAAAGCCCTGCAACCTTAAAGACCTACAACCCTAAAGCCCCAAACCCTAAAACTCAGACACCCTAAAACACTAAACCCTAACACCCGACTGAAGAACCCTAAAACCCTAAAGCCCCAAACCCTAAAACTCTAAACCTCCTAAAGCCCTAAAGCCCTAAACCCTCAAGCCCTAAAGCCCGAAAAGCCCTAAACCCTAAAACCCTAAAACCCTAAAGCCCTAAAGCCCTAAGCCCTAAACCCCTAGAGCCATAAGCCCTCAAGCCCTAGATCCCCAAAGCCCTATAACCCAAAGGCCCTAAACCCTAAAGCCCTAACGCCCTAAAGCCCTAACGCCCTAAAACCCGAAAGCCCCCTTCTCCTGAACTTCCGTTTCAGGTCGTCCTGGCCAGCCTGGCACTCGATGACGATGGCTCGGACACTTACTGCTGCAAAAGGGAAAGGGGAGGAGGGATTCTAGGACTTTAGGGTTTAGGGTTTAGAGCTTAAGGTTTGGGGGAGGAGGGAATATAGGGCTTTAGGGCTTTAGGGTGTAGGGTTTAGGGACTACTGGATTAGAAGGGAGTCTTTAGGCACTGCTCCCTGAACCTTAACGCCTAAAACCTTAAACCCTAAACTCCAAACCCCCTAAAACCCTAAAACCCCCAAAGTCCTGGACCCTAAACTCCCTAAACCCCTTACAAGGAGACGGAGCTCGATGCCTCGGAGAGCAACATTTCTGCGAGGGCAGCGATGCTCTTCCTCATGGCCAAGGAGGTCCCTGGTGGTGGTTTAGGGTTTAGGGTTTAGGGTTTAGGGTTTAGGGATTTTGGTGGTGGTGGTGGTAGTGGTGTTGGCAGTGGAAGTAGTCGTCGTAGCAGCAGTAGTAGTGGTAGCATTAGTAGTGGTGGTGGTGGTGGTAGTAGTAGTAGTAGTAGTAGCAGCAGCAGCAGTGGTAGTGGGGTTTGAGTAGGCATACCCTAGGGTTACCCTAAACCCTAAACTCGGGTTTAGCGTCTAGGGTTTATCGTTTAGGTACCTATGGGTTTAGGGTCGGCGGTCTGCTGAAACCTTCGAAATCCAGGGGTTTACCGAAACTCTCCTCTTACTCTCAACTCCCCATATGGGGGTTTCCGACAATAGGGGACCCTAATATAGTACCCTAAATAGTAGGATCCTTATTATAAGGACCCCAAATAAGGTACCCTAATTTTCGGAAAGTCCCATATCCGAGACCTTTGAATCCCTTAAACCCTAAAGGCCGTAAGCTCCCTTGGAAGAGGTGCAAGCGGCGAAGAGCGAGAGGGGCGGTTTCTGGGATGCATGAAAGGTGGCCTGCAACTGCGTGCCGCGTCGTCTTGCAGGGTTCAGGGTTTTGGGGTTTAACGATTGGGGCGTAATATAGGGGCCTAAATAATTACCTATATTATTTTGGGGGTTCCTTATAAGAAATGTAGCATAATGGGCCCCAAAACCCTATTCTAACTAGTAAGGCCCCTGTATTACAGAGGTGGGGATCTCCGGTTTAGTGTTTCGGCAGTCCCAGGTTCTTCGGGCACGAAGCGCAAGCGCTCGACGGTGCAGGAGGAGGACGCAATGTGGTGTGTTCCTGCATGTTGGAGAGGTGTTGACCTCGCTTGTGCTCATTGTCAGTATGCTCCTCCTTTTTATCAGCAGCATGTCATCGTCATCGTCATCATCGCCATCATCATCATCATCCTCCCAGTTCAATTCAGTTGAAATGTAGTCCGAAGCCAGCCAGAGGCAGAGCCTACCATGTCGTTGTGGGAGGCTATATTCCCGTTGAGGAACTCCCCGTGGGCGAAGCCTGATTCGCCACCAAGAACTGAAATTCATCGATCTCGAGCGTTGAATTGCTTTGCTCCTTGTTGCTCGCAATATTGTTCTCGAAAGCTCCGTAAGGCTAAGAGTGACTTGGCAAAAAGACAAAGGCAGTGAGGCAGAGTATCTGGTAGTCATAGCGAGCATGCCGCAACGATGTGTGTGTGTGTGTGTGTTCACGACATGTCGGCCCGTTTTCGCGGTTTTGGAGTTGTACTTGGGAGTTTTCGAAGGCGCAAGGTTGTGAGTCGCAGATCTTCAGACTTCAGACTGGATCTTGCACTGAGAAAGGGTTGAGGTGCCCTTACTAGAAGACTCAAAGACTATGTTTGGAATTTCTAAACCTATCGAAGACCCAAAATAAAGCATGCTGACAATCCCCAAGTCCTAGACCCCAACCCCGATAAACAAAGACCCTGCTATACGGATGGTTGTCATGGTCAACTTTTTTTGTCACCAGCTGGAGGCGTGCAAGGCCAGCATCGGCTGCTTTGATCAGGGGGTATCCAGCTTAAATCATGCAGCCTTAAGCCCTAGACCCCACATCGTAAACGCTAAACCCCACACGCGAAGCGACTCCGACACCTATATTACTTATCACCCAAGGCCACCCAAAAAAGGGTCACGACATTCGGACTACAGTTGGCACAGAGCCATAGTCCACTTACCCGAACCTTCATCCCTCAACCGGAAAGCCCAAATATCTACATCCTGAAACCTCCACCACAGACTGACAGGACGAGGATCCGCAAAGTTGGGAGGGGCGCCACAAGGAGCACCATCTCCCTATCCCGAAATCCGAATCCTTAATCTTGAAGCCACACCTGAGAGTTTAGGGTTTACGGATTTGTAGGGTTTAGTTTAGGGTTTAGGGTTTAGGCTTAAATCTCAGAACCCGCACCCAAACCCGTATGCCTTGACCCTAATCTCCTAGCCCGAAGCCCTGAACCCTTTCCCCCTAAACCCCAAACCCTAAACCCTAGACCCTAAACCCTATAAACCCTTTTGGGGCTTTCAATCCCTAATCCCTCAAACCCTGCATCCCTAGAACCAGGCGTTGAGGAAGAAGACGAAGGCCGACAGCCAGGTTTGCTCCTGGGTGCTGGAGGCACGGGAGATCAGCACGATATAAATATAAATATAAATATAAATATAAATATAAATATATATACAGAAAAATAAAATAGATAAGTATATATATATATGCATATATATATATATATAAGCACACACAGTCTGTATAATATGTATGTCACGCAGTCTGCAGGCTTTAGGCCCTAAGCCCTAATCCCTAAGAGCTAAATTACCGAAAGGCTCATTTCCGCATTCACCAACCCCTACCGAAAACCAAGTACCCTAAAGCCCGAAATCATGACGAAAAGCTGCAAAGGAAAACTCATGCAAGCTTCGTTCATTTGCAGCTAGAACTATCGTTTTCCAGGTTTCGGCGGGGCAGGCACTGACCGAAATCGAGTTTCGTCTCAGTGTTTCGGGGAATGCCTTAAACCTAAACCGTAAATCATAAACCATATTTCCTAAACCATAAACCCTAAATCCCACACCCTAAACCCTAAATCGACAGAAACAATCGAAGCTAACCCTCTGTACAGATAGATTTGAACCCTGCACAAGTTTCAGAAGAGGTTCGGAGAGAAAAACTTGGCTGAACGAGGAGGACTGAGACATCAATCGTGCTGATTCTTCACGGTCAAGTCTTAAGCCTTAAGCTGGTCCTACGTGCCGTAACCAGTGCTTTTTTTCCCAAAGTGGAAGCCATCGCCGGCCCATGGCAACAACGATAAGACTACTTGGGCAGACCGGGGCTCTCAACCATCATGATAAGAGAGTACACTTACCAGTTGGACTCATGTTTCCAAACTCTGCGTCGAACCCCGAACCTTAAACCCCAAAGCTTGCTTCAACTAGTAAACCCGAAACCCTTGACTGAATCCCACTTTCACACTTGCTCTCACAACAGCAAGTTCATGGAGCCCTCGGCAGGTTGTAATAGGCTCTATCCCTCTCAGGGATGACACGGGTGTGGACTGAAAGGCTTCACAGCAGCCAGAACCATCTACAGGTGCATGGCCGTGATGAGCAACTTTGGGAAACGATGCGGTGAACTAGGTGTTTTTTCTGTTAACGAGCAGGTAGTTCATAGGAGTATCCATGGAAACAATGACAGTAAGCCACTGTACTCATGTAAGACCGAGTCACGAAGAAACCCCTGCCCCCCACACAGACACCACCACCACGACCGCCATCACCGCCATCACCGCCACCACCGCCACCACCGCCACCGCCACCACCGCCACCACCCGGGCCGCCATCGCCACCGCCGCCGCCATCTATCTTTCTCACCAAGCCCCTTATAAAACCCCGTGAAGCCCATACAAAAATCAGGTAAACCCTTACATGACTCTATGCAAAAAAAACCGGTGAAACCCTTTGAGGCCCCGATAAACTCGACAGGACCCTTCCAAAAGCATGGAAAAGCCCCTGTAGATCCTACAAAAAAGGTCCCGTAACATCCCCCAGCCTTCGATCCTAAACCCTAAACCCTGGAGCCTAGACCCGTAAACCCGTAAACCCTAAACCCCTAAACCCTAAAACCAAAACCCTAAAACCTAAACCCTAAACCCTAAACCCCTAAACCCCTAAACCCGAAACCCTAAACTTCTGAGTCCCCTGAGGCGGCAAAGCTCTTGGTCAACATGAGCGTCGAGGAGCAGAAAGCCTCAAGTCAAAACCTGCAGGCCGTTGACGGGTTGCTGTAGGGGTACAATACTTTCAATACTGGCTCTATAAGGGATTGAGGGTTTTGGGGGTTTAAGAGTTATAATAGGCTTGAGGAGTATAGTATACTTAAGCTGCTTAGGGACTATGAGGGATATTGCCAGTATTCATGCAGGTTTTTGGGCCTCAAAAGGGTGAAGGTTTATGGGTTCATTGTTTCATGGTTTTAGGTTAGTTTTTTGTTTTTAGGGTTTCGAAGCTCTGTCAGGTCTTTGTCACTCAGTGTTTGCATCTCCTCCAGAGGGCATCGCAGCAGGACTTGCTGCTGTTTGACCAGAGCCAACAGGCGCTCACTCAAGCGACGGAGTTGCTAATCGAGCGGTTGCGCTTTGCTGAGGCGAAGCCTGTTTGGGGTAGCTTGTGGGCTGGAAAGCTTCGTTTAGCCATCTCTCAGAAGGACTTCGACGACAGGCAGTGTATCCTTGAGTCGTGGCTGCCAGCAGCGGCAAAGTTGCGCGGCAAAGAGCTTTCGGGACAGAGATTCCAACTGTTGGATGCCCTGCTTTCACGGAACCCGCCACTTTGTCACTTGGCCTTGTTGTTAGAAAGGCTCCTGGCACGGTGGTGCAAGGAGGAGATGCTGGAGGACGAGCTCACGGCTATCTTGGATGCCTTCGAAGCATTGAAGGAATCTTGGGTCACACAGCTTCCCGAAAACTGGCAAGCCATCTGCAAAGCAAGTGCAAGCTGTAGGCAGATTGCCTCGACGTGCAAAGATCAGCGAAAGCCGCAGACGGCAAAGGAGCTGCTTGCGTGCGGTCTGGAGATGCAAACTCAGTGCTTCTCTGCCAAAGCTGCACAGGTCTTGCACTCTTCGACCAGCGCAGGTGACCGCCAAGCCCTCATAGCTTGGTGCAAGGAGCTTGTCGAGCTGCGTTGGGACAAGGTCGCCTTCCCGGAGTTTTTCAATGAAGCGGCATGGAGGTTGTGGCAGCAGTTGCCGCAGCATGATACTGAAACGTTTCCTGTCCAAGTCCCAGAGTTGGGTGGCTTTGCGAAGGCATTCAGTGACGTGCGGGCATCTGCTCCGCCGCAGCTCGCCATTCAGGCCGATGCGTTCCTGCGTCGGTTTCATCCTGGTCTGGCCACCCATGTGCACCTGATGGAGTGGCAGATGTCTGGGACACCCGATTCTGCCAAACGCTGTGTAGACTCTGAGAAGCTTTTCTTCGACCTCATCAAGCGGAGCTTAACTCAGATATACGTGCTTCGGCCGACAGAGTGGGGGGCCTGGTACGGGCACTTCGACCGCATCCTGCACTGTCTTCAGTGGGTTGCGGGGTACGTAAACACGGATCGGGGGGCCTTTCTTCAGCAGGCCATCGGCTGGCGGGCGCAGATGCAGCCCGAAGAGCCTGTGATGCCGGAGCCCGAGCCTCCCATCGAGGTGGACGAAGACCAGATGCCTGCGGCAGTGGAGGAGCTCGACCTCGCAGAGGAGCTCGATGCCTCACCGGAGGAGTCTCAGCTCCAAGGCGAAGAGGAACAAGCTACACAAGGCTTTCAAGGACCCGAAGTTGATGCTGGACAGGGCTCCCAGGAGGAGGAATCCGAGCCGGAGCCGCCTCAGGAGCGATGCCACTCACCGGCTACCAGGGAGGCCATCGCCGAGTTCCTCACAGGCTTCGACCCTAAACCCTAAACCCTGAACCCCTAAACCCCCAAACCTTAAACCCCTAAACCCCTAAATCCTGAACCCCTAAACCCCTAAACCCCTAAACCCTAAACTCTAAACCTCAGAGGCTTCGACAAGGGAAGAGGCAGGTTCCGGGAAGAGTACCTTGAGAGAGTCTTGCATCACTACGACAGCCTCGATGAGCTCAGGCGCCTTCTGGACAACACAAAGGAGACTGGGGCTCTTGTTAAGGAGTTTAGGGTTTAGGGTTTTAGGGTTTTAGGATTTTAGGGTTTTAGGGTTTAGGGTTTAGGGTTAATTAAGCTACCATAATAGGGATCTATACTAAATAATATGGTTTCTTGCTTGTTGGAACTTAAATCCCAAAAACAAGAACCCAGGAGAAGTTCAAGCAGCTTCCAGACAGCTTCTGGGAGAACATGGGTCTCGGCGCCGATTCGTCGAAAGAGATGACAAAGAGGACTGGCGACAAAGTCGTCTTCTTGAAGAATCTTCACAATTTGCCTCCTCCTCCTTGCGAAGAGCCATGAGCTCCCCGAGGGGATGTGCTGAGGACGGGAGCATCGGGGGCGAAGCAAGTTCTGTAATTTTGCAAGGTGGGGTTTTGGGTGTACCGTAGGGGTGTCCAAATGTCACATCCCGGTTTGGGAAGTTTGTACGCTTCTGGGTTTAGATCCCGGTAAAGCTCTTGAGAAAGCTGTGAATCCCACTGTCAGCCCTCGCTAAAGCCACCTCGCAACCCATAAGCTCTGCAAGAACCCAGCACCCTCAACCTGACCCTCAACTCCTCAGCCCCTAACCCTCAGCCGTAAACCCCAAACAGTAAACCCCGAACCTTCACAGAACTTTCTACAGTTTCTCTGCATGTTCGAAACCCGAAGCCCTAAGCCCTCATCAAGAGGAGATCCGTCTTTCTTGTGCTCCTTGCTGCAGAGCGAGCGGCCTCAGGAATCGGGTTCAGGATCAGGGATTCGGGTTGTAGGGTATGGAGTTTAGGTTTCGGGTTTGGGGTTTAGGGTTTAGAGATTAGGGTTTGCAAGGGTTTAGGGTTTCAGCATCAGGTTTAGGCTTTTAATGTTCGGGGCCTATGACCCACTCTCCCTCACGGATGCGTTCGCCGTTAATATAGGGGCCTTAATAATTACCCATATTTGGGGGGTTCCATATTATACCTTCCGAAGACCTGTTCACACGCACTTTGCACTACTTTCACTTCGGTTTTTCCATCGGATGTGCCAGTGCGGGCAAGGTTTTTGCACTTCGAGGGGTTGGGGTGAGGGGTGGGGGGTCGGGGGCGGGGCTAATTCCGCTTGGTCGGACGCTTCACGCTTCACTTCTTGCGCACTTTATAGAGTCGTACTTGCGAGGAACATGTTGCGTATGCTGTCCTTCCTAATGCAACCCACAGAGACTGGGTTTGATCCTGAGATACTGAACTATAACTTAGCCATACTTAGGCCCTGAAAACAAGTGTTGGAAAAGGCTCCGAAGCCCCGACAGAACGCGACTGCTCAGTGTCCATAGCTCCTGTCATGCGGGCAGACGTGTCCACACAACGCAGACCCAAAAATGAAGCAACAAGAATTGACATAACAAAACGCAAACAAACACGTCGAAGTCACGAAAGGCCACGCCTGCCGCGATTTTGGAAGATGTCACAATCGCTTCAATTCAAGAAACAGCTAAAACAGTTATATTTGCGTCCTGCATTTGTACGTACGAAATTCCATCCGTGTGCCTGCTGCATGCGCTTCAAACGAAATAAAATTCACCATTTCCTCGAGTTTTTGTGTTCACACTGCAAATATATGACCTCGTCATGTACTCAAGGGCCTCCGCGCCCTGGTTTTTCTTACGATGCGACCTATCTTGATTTCTTCTTGTTAGAGCAACGTCGAAAGCTCAACTTCCTCGAGCTTTTGACACTTCCTGACAGAGCTCAGTCTATGAACAGACCGAACAAAACTCATTATGTTGGCATCTTCTTAGCTTCAAAACACTCTTGTTGGCAGCTGCGTAGCCATTTTTCGAGTTTTAACACGCGTTTTGACGCAGAAATGCGTGATTTCCACACCCAGGCAAATCAACAAGAATGCCGTGTTTTTCGCCGTATTTACAATACCTATACAAAACACTTGCCTGTCCTGCCGCGCGCATGCACGCGCGAACAGGGCTCCGGAGTGTTATCATGAGCATAGTATCATGGGCTCCAAAACCCTATTCTAATTATCAAGGCCCCTGCGGTACATTATGCCAGTGTTGCTGTTGTGTTTCTGCTGCCTCGGTTCGCTTTTCTTCCAGTCTGGCGGGGCTGCTCATGGCTTCGTTGTTGCGGCTTGTGTGCTGTTGCGACTGGTGCAACTACGATCCTTGAGGTTATGGTTTGCGTAGAGCACCTTTTTTGCCGACAGTGGCAGAACACAGAGATATATATCTTGTGCGTATCATAGCCCATTTAGTCTAACATGCCTGCACACCGTTATCTACATGTGCACCGTCGTACTGTCTACATATGTCTACACTGGTATGTGTACCAGGATGCCTTACTAGCATGCATCTTCTTGGTTGCATAAGCCTGTCGGTCTGTCGGTCCATTTGCGTGTGCCATGTCTACAAGTTTTCAGCCCATGTCGGTGTAGTGCTACCCCGAATCCAAGTTCCAAGCATTCGACATGACACTGTGAAGTGGCCATCGCACTGCAACTCTAGGTCCTTAAACTTAAACCCTACACTCCGTAAAATCCATCAACTTAAGTCCTCCACACCATACGGCCTCCCAGAGGCGATGAAAGGGTGCCACTAACAATTCAAAAGGATGCTCAGACAGGCCCCATGCTTGTAGAAGTGCTAATGCCAATGTCTATACGAACCAATACAAATGCTTAGATGATTGCTGAAAATGCCCGCATAGTATCGCCGCTGCGTCGCCACGAAACCGTAGCTCGTAACCCCAAGCAGTCTGGACCCTGAACCCGAAACCCGAAAGCGCTAAACCCTATAAACCCAAAAACCCTAAAACCCTTTCTAACCCCCAGAGCCCTGAAGCCCTAATGCCATTATGCAAGCACGAGGCTCCAGCTGCGCGGCCTCTGCATCTCCTTCGCAGAGGGTGGACGAGGCTTCTCCCACAGACAGGGGCCCTTGGTTTTGCGACTTAGGATCCCACCAGGGCTTTAGGTTAAGGGGCTTCAGCGGCTTTGGGGTTTAGTGGCTGTGGGGTTTTTCGGGTTTCGGGTTGAGGGTAGGGTTCTTGTGTGCCAGAAAGGTGTCTTGCTTTTTTGGTTCGGGGTTTAGGGCTTGAGGTTTTGGGGGGATTTAAACTTTCAATTTCTTCAGGGCACCACTAGGTGCTGCAATTGATAAGGACGGATTTTCTGCTTGTGGCAATTGAATTCGGTTGGGGGCTGCCTAGTTTTTGAGAGTTTTAAGTCTGCCGGGCTTGTTGGGTAACCTTTGACGATTGATGGCTTAGTAGTAGTACTACTACTGCTACTGCTACTGTCACTACGGCTACAACTACGACTACGACTGCGACTCCTCCTCCTCCTCCTACTCCTCCTCCTGCTGCTGCTGCTGCGACGACGACTGGTACTACAACAACAACTACTACGACGGCTACTGCTAGTGACTACCATTGCGACTGCAACTGCTACTGAGTTAACTTCTTTGTGCGGGAGCCAGCAATAAGCACACACAAGACAATCATAGCAACAAGAAAAGTAATACTAGTCGCCGTCATCGTCATAGTGGTAGTGGGAGCGGGAGTGGGCGTGTGGGTGGGCGGGAGTGGAAGCGGTACTGGGCGTAGTAATGGTCGTCGTCGTCCTCGTAGTAGCAGCA